TATCCACAAGTTTGTTTTTAAAAGCCCATCATTTTCATTTATAACCTTTTGAAATTAAGCTAAAGCTTTTTAATTTTAATTGTATTCTATTTTAGTGATCACCTAGAAGTAATGCTTCACATGTCAAAGCCCATTCTTATTGATTTCTAATCGCAGGTTGTCTGAATGATTATCAATTTCTAATTTTAATTCTCTTTGATTATATAAACATAACGGAATCATCTAAATTAAAAACTGGTAGTTACTCATAGTTACAATATGTGTTAATATATTTGCATTGGGTATATCCAGGGAAAAATCTACCTCCATTATTTTCATGATTCAAGTGAAAACTGAACAGAAAATGAAAATTTATCTCAATTAGTGATATGTATAACGGTTAATTAAACATGCGGAGAAATGCTAAAAGGGTCATAGTTGAGTCTTGTCTTTGTTAACATCTTAATTACCTAAAGATGCATTCAACAAATCTGTAATTCAAAACATAGGTGCTATTCCCTGGGAGGTGTTGCAGACATCTGAGAGGAAAAGAATGCACAAAATGGAATGAGGTGGAGAGGAAATTAATTAAAACATAAATTAGAAAAACAAGGCTCACCGGCTTGCACAGTAGTCATCTGAAACCCATATATTTACCAACAAGGAAAGATATTCATTTTGGTTTGATGAAAGGAGGAGGTTTGGGACTTCTCTAAAGAGACTCCAGAGTGTTAGTTAGCTAGTAAATTAGATGTGAACTTGTTAAGGTGGCATCATACTGCAGCAGAAACAGAGTTAGTAATTGGAAATTTGTGGGCAGATGGGTTCTGTTAGAAGTAGGAGATAATAGCAGGAATAAGACTTCCCTGGATAAAGGATTTTCAAAATATTTTATATAATTAATATTTCAAAACCAATTAGAAATAAGGTATTATTGTGATAGTGTCATGTTGAATAAATCCACTATGATTATATGCTAATTATGATATAGACAAGAATTAAATAGTATATAGTGTCCATGGAATTTCTTTTTATAGCATTAGTGAAGCTGCATCTCTAAGGCTATTATTTAGGCATTATTAGTAATAATAGCAGCAATAGTGATAGCAATTGAGACGGAGGTGCTTACTTGTGCCAGGTTCCCTAAAGTCTTATTAGGAAGGCACTTAATATAATTCCCATTTTATAAGTGAGGAAACTGAAGCACAAGGAAGTTAGGTAACCTCCCCAAGTCGCACAGCTAGCAAGTGGACCTAATCCACAGTGTAAAGATGTCTGAGAGTCAGAGGTAATTCATTACCAAAAATTAATTCTTCACTTCACAGATCAGGAAATAAGATATTGCTGGTACTTCATCACCTGCAAGGAAACAGTTTCTGTAAGTTTAATTCAGGATCTCTGGGTCCTCTCTTAGGGTTGTAAATTTGAATATTGGAGGACGGCTTGGAAAGTTTTCTTTCAGTTGGCATTTGCTTTATTTTGCTGTGTTGGCCATTATTTTTTGAAGAAGGTGCTAGAGGAAGGACTAAAATATTTACTAGCTTTTAAAATTATTCCTTTTCCAGATATTTATGCAGTTTCATAAATTGTAGATTATATATGTATAAACAGGATGTATACAATTGCTTTTTGTTATGCTGAAATTTTAAAAAGTAGAGTGTACCAAGACAACAATTTTAAATTTACTAGCGGCATTAATATTTAAATAATTTTGTTCTATAAGTGAAGTGACAAGTTGGGAAAAAAAAATCTAGTGGGTTTTTTGGGGCAGGGCAGAATTTCTTGAGATGCAAGAAGAAAACCTGAATATAGAAGAAAGCATCAACATTCACAGCCCTGAAGTTCATCTCCAATTCTTGCATGATCAAGCAGGCAGTCGGACATCATGTGGATCAAAGGTGGACAGGAGAAGCCCACAAGAAAAGGAGGTCCAGAATCCTTCTTGCTTCTCTTCTGACAAAGTTGGCACTCCATGAAGCAGAAATATGGTTTTTGTTAGTTTACAAGCCAAATTGTGCTGCTTCTCTTCAGTGCAGGAGATTAAAATGACCTGATATTAGTCAAACTATCTTTCATTTGAAGAGTTTTTAGAAGTCCTCTCAGAAGTATAAAAATATGCTACAATGTGTAAACAATTTGCAATAAACTTTTTAGCTCTTCATCCCACAAAGCTCTAATATTGATAACATTTTCCTGAATATTATTTTTTCTTTAACATTTCTTAAAATTTCTAAAATTTTCTGTAAAACTCTAAAACGTTAAATTACAGATAACTTATGGAGCCCCACGATTTTTTTTCCTCCCCAAAGCCCCAGTGCATGGTTGTATATCCTAGTTGTAAGTCCTTCCAGTTCTTCTGTGTGAGCCACTGCCACAGCATGGCAACTGCCAGACAGGTGGTGTGGTTCTGCGACCAGGAAATGCACCTGGGCTGCCAAAGTGGGGAAAACGCTGAACTTTAACCACTAGACCATCAGAGTTGGCTCCACAATTTTTTAAACATAAGGATTTTTTCCAGTTTTTGTCTGGACATTCAGATTTTTTGTGTATTTCTAAGCAGAGTTAAGTAGTCAGTTTTGGGCAGCTCTCAGAGTTCTAAACTGAACTTTGATTCAGGAAATAATCTCTAAGGATGTGAGAGAATTGGATCCCTTCTTCTTCACTTGTGAGGCACACATTCCACCCAGCATGAGAGATGAGCTCATGTTGGACTTCAACTGTAGGCTGGATAAAAATAAGTAAACATGTCAACTGAGGACAAAATTAGACCAAGTGACTCTACTGCTTATTGTTTCAAGGCACGTTTTGAAATCATCTGAATGAAGTTAACAGAAGAGAAATATTTATATATGACAAATATTGTGTCCTTGTCAAGACTATAGAAAAAGCTGCCACCAGTAAAGGAAGCCCCCACATACTAGTCACAACCCTGCACTTGAACTGTCCATACTCAGATGTTTATTCTGGCCTGTTTCCTTGCTAAGTCACAGCACCACCTGATCAGTTCATTTGAAAACTTTGACTAAGTCCCCAAATACTAGGGTAGCACACTGCATAGGTACTTATCCTCACAGAACTTTAGAAGCAGGAGAGAGAGCTCCAAGTCTAACTCCTTCATTTTACAGAGAAGGAAACCCTTAGTGGTTCCAGAGCTGTGGATGTAGTCATTTTTAAAACTAGATTTCATGGAGACTTATGAAATATGGCTTTTGAATATTACTATATCCACGGATGAAATATTGAACCAGTATAAAAGCTTCTCCCTGCTAGTTACAGATACTCTGGGATGCTTAATGTACCTTTTCTGGTCGCTAGGGTACCATTCAGAGCAATGAGGAAGTTGATTTACAATATGCTGCACACAGGAACATCTCAGAGCTGCCTTTTACTCACTGGGAGAATACAACATTATTTCATCCCTCGTTTCAGTTAATCTTTGAATTTGATTCTATTCACATAGTCGAAGACAAACACAATGTTATAAATATTCAAATAGTTTATTATGTCTGTCTTTGTGTGACTCAGCTACTTTATTGTTTTCCAGATAGATGCACATTAAAACTTGAACATCTGTAGTATACATTTTTGAGATAATAAATTCGGAAACTGCATCTCTTAAGGGTATAATTATTGACTTAATTGGTATGCAGTTTGATAAATATTCTGAGACAAGAAATAATTTGTTTGAGAAGTTCATTGGTGACTGATATACATTGTTTTTATGACTTAGCATCCTGAAAATGAGCCAAAGAAATTGTGTTGACAATGGCACACACAGTGTAATCTAACTGAACAGGAAGGAAAATAATAATTTTGTAACGTCTGAGAATGAGTTCAGGAAGGAAGAAACAATGAGCGAATACAAGCAAGAAAATCTATAGTAATTAGAGTGATAATAAAAGTAGTAACGATGTTATGTTAGTTTCCTGTTGTTGATGTAACAAATTACCATAAAATGGGTGGCTTAAAATAAGAGAAATTTATTTTCTCACAGTTCTGGTGCCTAGAAGTCTGAGATCAGTATCACTGGGTCCAAGTAAGTTATCAGCAGTGCCACACTCCCTGCGGAGGCTCTAGGGGACAATCTATTCCTTTCCTTTTCCAGATTCTGATGGCAACTGTCACTCCTTGGCTTGTGACCGCATCACTCCAATCTTTGCCTCTGCCTTCACATCGCTTTCTCCTCATGTGTATGTGCGCATTCTTCTAATAAGGATATTTGTGAGAGCATTCAGGGTCTATCTGGATAATCCAGAGTAATCTTCCTATCACAACTGTGCAGACTCTTTTTTTCAAATAGAGTTACATTTATGGGTTCCAGGGATTATGACCTGATGTCACCGGAGGACCATTTTCCAGCATACCACAAACAAGTTAACCCGTTGAGTTAGCGCGGCATATCATGGCCACTTTTCTCCTTTAGACAGCAGAGGATGCTACTCTGAACATACCCTAAGTGACGTTTGATGAGGGATGAGATCGAATTCCACTCCCTCATTCTCTCTCTTTCCTTTTCTTCCAATTCTATAGCAATCCTACTCCCAATGATTTTTTTCCTTCCTAGCCTCAACGGAGACAGCGGTAACCACATTCTGTAAAGTTTGCAGGTACCTCTCCCACCCCCAAGCCTACCATTTTGGCCTAGGCATTCCTTTTGAATTTCTAGGCATGATCTTGGGCTACCAGGTGCCCTCCATGTAAGAGCCCTCCGTGTCACTAGAAATTGCTAGATTCTACTCAAAAAGTCAGATCCATCTGTCACTCAAAGCTTGTGCCTGCACATATTCTAAAAGATCTCTCACCATTGGTGCCCTGGGGTAGAATACAGGTTTTCCCTGCTATCTGAAAGTAGAGGATTTCGATGAAACCTTTTGTAAGCCGCAGTGGTGTAAAGTGAAGAAGCAATTACCATTAATTTATGTGGGAAAATTTTTCGAGCATTCCCAGACCCAAAAAATAAGTACTAAATCATACCAAATAACACATAAAACCTAAAATAACACTAACATATAGTAAAAGCAGGAATGATACGATAAATACACAGCCTATGTAAAGTAGGAGTAATGTCTGTACCATGTGGGTTCACTTACCAGAATCAAGAAGACAGCAAACACCCTGGAGGGCTGAGAAGTGGTGATGGTGATGGTGGGGTGTGAGGCTGAGTCGTTGGAGGCTGGGGTAGGACGTACAGGAGACTGGGGTGGAGGAGAGAGAGGAAGAGGGGCCTCTATTAATATCTCATCGTTGTCTGAATCCATCGGGGCAGGCAGGTCGCTAACATCTATATCTTCTGTGTCTGCCTGCCTCTGTGTCCAAGGTCAAGGTTCGTCGTCTGTTGTGCCAATGTGGAAGGCTTGAAATACAGCAGTGTGCTCGACTGCCTGGCCTCTATAATGGCTCACTGCAACATGAACACAACGCCATTTTTGCTTTTCACCTTTTTTTCTAAAAGCAGAAATCTCCTTCAGGTTTCTCTTGGTTAGTGAAAGTAGATAGTAATGTAGGTCTTTCACAGAAGTAAACCGGCATAAAGCAAAATTTCAGATAGCAGGGGAAACTCGTATTCCAAAAGGCCACTGAGCATCCTCAGCATGACCTGTGGAATGACTGTTTGTTTTTGTTTTAGAGAAAATTCCTGAGAACTCTATTGACTGTCTTTTCTTGGAAATTAGCTGTAGAGATCTGCGTAGTGAGAGCTAGCCCTGCCAGACATAAGTGGTCCAGATTTGCCTGATTGCCACAGAAAGAGATTATGAAATATCCACCTGTTCTTTAAGTTCCCAGCCCAGAGCCTGCTCCCTGGAGTTACTCCATGTCCCCAGTGCAGTCATGCCTCCCTCCATATAAGCATGCCTCCCCTGTGGAGGCGAGTGCAGATTCCTCGGGTCATAGAGGAGGCAGGCCCTGGGGAGCAACAGTGTTTGTGATGGGACTGGATCATCCTTTTGTCCCTTGTTCATGCCTGTCATCTTTGCCAAGCCCACAGGTCCATGTCATTCTATTGATACAAATACGTGAACTTTATCATAGGGAACATTACCTGTGGAACTGTTACCAACACTTTCTCTAAATGTTTACCAAGAAGCTGTGTCAAACCCATAAGATCATGAAACAGTACCTCTGGATTCAGGGGGATATCTTTCCAAAGTAATTAGTTGAAACTAAACACTTGATTTATGCCGGACACTGAGTTAAGCACTTTATTTGCGTTCTTTCATTTAATCCTTTGAATTATTATCTATTTTTGTTATTATCCTAACTTTCTAGATGAGGAATTTGAGGCTTAGAGGGATTAGGTGACCTTGCAGATAGCTGTGGAGTTGAAGGCTACACCATAAATCAGCTGAGGAGTCAAGATTTGAACCCAAGCATCTCTCTCCAGAATTCATCTCTTTAACCCTAGTGTTACTATCTCTTGCCCATATTTATGGTCTTGTCACGGCCTTGATTTTAGTCTGGAAATATGCATGAGTAACTTTGATTGTGAAAGTATCTCTTGTTTACATTACAAATTGAAGGCACTCAAAATAAGAGAGAAAATATTCCCTTTTAAAACTGCTTCTGAATCTTTGGTTTCTAGCTTAACCATAGGTTCTAAAACATACAAACTGTGATATTTTAGGATCTGTCATAACTTAAAAGTAATAAAATCTCTTCTGTGAACAGCTGAATAGCATAAACTCTTTCTCCCCATCACATTTATCACATCACCTAAATTTGTTATGGTGAAATGTTTTCCCATGAAATCCTGCAGCATCACAGATCTGCATGTTTAGACAGCTGAGTTCGTCTTTAAATCAGCATTACCAAACCCACCTATGAGGAACTGGAGCAAATTCAAAATGATGCAGAGCTGCCCTAGGACGTTAAGGCACCATTAATGTTCTCCTGGGAGTTTCAAGTAACACTGTATCCATTAAGGGAAAGGAAGTTGTAGAAAGATGATCTTTACGGCAACGATGGGTGAAATGGCAAATTATTCCTGCCCTACAGTCAATAATTTTCCCATTTGGTCAGGAAATATTAGCTGTTTTTGCTCTTCTAGCAGCTGGTTTTTAATGTATTATATGTATAATTTATCAATTATACATAATTTAGAGTTTATATATGGATATGTCATACTAAAACCTGACTACAGCTAAAATCACTAGCCTCAAGATAAATCACTGGCCTCATTTCAAAACACAACAGTGTATGATGAGTCCTTTATTATTTAGAGGTCTTTAAAAAGTTTATCTAAAAATTTTGGGGGATTGTTTTTTGGTTTTCAGTTTGAGAGTTTTAGCAATGTAGAAAGTATGCTTTAGAGAGAGAGAATGAATTCTGAAGTTTTCCAGCTACTATTATATTTGGGGAAAATAAAAGTTTTATTGACAAGATGCCATTAATCTTCTCTTACCAAATGGGACATTGCACCAAAGCAGGGGCCCATAAACCTTTTCTGTAAAGGGCTCAATAGTCAATATTTTTGGCCCTGTAGGCCTATTCAACTCTGCTGTTGTCCCACAAAGGCAGTCACAGACAACATATAAACAAACGAGAATGCCTGTATTGCAACAAAACTTTATTTGTGGAGCCTGAAACTTGAATTTCACATAACGTTCATGTCTCACAGAATATTACTCTTCTATTTTTTTTTTCAACCATTTAAAATTGAAATCACCATTCGTAGCTCACTGGCCATAGTAAAACAGACTCAAGCTGTTTCAAACCTGTTTCTCCTCTAATCTTTCCAATGTCATAAAACAGAAGCACCATCCATTCTCCTCTCTCTCATCCCCACCTCAAATCCATCAGCAAATATGTATGTCTGTTCCTTGTAGAACCCCCCGCCTCCTCGCCACCACTTGTTTACACCAACACTCGCTCCCCTGAACCACTCCACGAATTCCCAGTTGAGCTCCCCCATCTTCTCTTCTCCCTAGCAATCCATTTTCGGCACAGCATCTGGAGCAACTGTTTACAAATCAGAAATTTGATAATGTCACATATACTAGCTGCAATCTTGAGCAAGTTAACTAAAAACTTTAAGACTCAATTTCCTCTTCTGCAAACGGAAAGAGTAATTATCCATGCTTCTGTGGTTTGATGTGAAGAGTAAATGACTAATGATGTTTAAACATTTAGTATGAAGCCCATGGTACAATCCCTATGTAATGAACTGGCGCTCATTAAATGGTAGATGCTATCATCACCATCATTGTTACTCTCCTAATTAAAACGTATGCAGTTAGAATAAAATCAGAATGCCTCACCTCTCAGACCTTGCATGATCTGTCTGCTTCTCCTCGCTTGCTCCTGCCAAGAGCTCATTATGCCCCAGCTACTCTGGTCTTATTTCAGTTCCTCATGCACTCCAAAATCTTGAGAGCCTTCAGACCTGCTCCTCACTTCTCTTCTAACTGGACTCTCAGTGTAAATGTCACTTCCTCAGAGAGGCCTTCCCAATCATAGAAATCTGCTTGTCTCCTTTATAATAAGTCCCACAGTGGATTATTTGTTTGTGAATACATTTATTTTCTTTCTCCCTATTAGAATATAACCCCCAGGAGAGAGAGAGCTAAGCCTACCTCCTTCACCACTCTATGCAAATAGTGTCCTTCAATAAGTATTTACTGAATGAAACAAAGAAAAATAAAACCTCAGAGCTCTCTGTCAATTTTATCTGAGTTCTGAAACAGTAATTTAAATTCAGCAGAAGCTGAATTTAGGTGGTCTGTCCGTAGGCTCACTCATTATTCTGTCCAATTATTCAGCAAACCTGGATGAAGTACTTTCTGAGTTAAGCCTGTGCAAGAAATAGAGGACCAAGAACCTTGGTAACTGATTTCAAGGAGTTTACAACATAATTGTATAAGTTGTCATTTTAAAGTATATATCGAAAAATATCTATCAACAAGTCAATATATTACTTTCCTCCAGGTTGAAGTTTTAATTTCCTTTTTCATCAACATATTTGCCACATGGAATAGCACCTTTAACTGGCACCATCAGTTATTCAGTAGACATTTACTGGAAATGTGCCAGTTACTCTACAAATTCTAATTGGATTTCTTTTTCCTGCTACACTTTCCTTCTAGGAGAAAGAAGCAAATGTCACCCAAATCAGTTATTGGCGATTCTGTAGGGTTTTTTTATTTGTTTGTTTGTTTTGTTGAAGAAAATTTATCCTAAGCCAACATCCGTTGTCAATCTTCCTCTTTTCGCTTGGTGAAGATTCACCCTGAGCTAACATCTGTGCTAATCTTCCTATATTTTATATGTGGGTCACCACCACAGCATGGCTGCTGATGAGTGGTGTAGTTCTATGCCCAGGAACCAAATCCAAGCCACCAAAGTGGAGCTCGCTGAACTTAACCACTAGACCATGGGGCTGGCCCTGAGATTCTGTTTTTTAAAGTTTGCAGATTATGTGTTGATATTGGTATGCATCCATCATGTTCTGCTCCACTTTCTCTCTGGACATCAAGAAACTGCAAGGTCTTTGGTCCAAGGGAGATTCTCTTTTCCCCAGTATGCTTACAAAGACCAGGAAGTATGCAAACATGTTTTAAGGACAATGCTAATAATTTAAAGAAAAGCATTTCTATCCTTAAAGAGGTTAAATCTCCATAATCCAAAGACCAGCCATCCTTGGATACCAGTCTCTGCGCTTCAGATAACTGTGGTTTTCACATGTGTGATCCCCAGCTGTCTGGGTATAGGCTTTGTCTGCTGGCTCAACTCCCATTTGGTCATTCATTTCCATGTGAGCAATGTGCATGCATTTAGAAATTGCTGCCATCAGAAATTGCTACTCTCCTGGGCCAAGCCACTAAAGTTTCACAATATATGGTTAATACAGAGGAAGAATGACAAGTTTCTGGATTATCTTTATTACAAATGAGAAGGATATTAATTAAAACTCTTGAAATGAAATAGTAAAAAAAAAATAATAATAAACATGGCTATCTTGTTAAGAAAAAAAAAATCCAGGTATACTTTGTTAGTGAAGGACGAGGGTAAGGAACACTTGTCTGGAAATTGAGAGAGATGAATGCATGACCTGCCAATAACTGTGTGACCTGTGGCAAATCAACCCCTCTCAACTCAGTTTCTGTATCTAAAAACCAGAAAAGATTGAAAAGATCTCTGTACATCTTTTTATTTATAAATAAGATTTTTCCCCTGTTCCTTGATAAAAAAGGAGAATTAAAAAGATAATGAGAACTCTGTGCTCTCTGCTATAGCTTTTCTATTTCTCCATCCATAAGATAGAAGCTGAGAGAGCAAGTGAGAGAAATGTAAGCTCTCTTACTTACAGGATTCTCCTTCTGATTTGTGTGAATCCTCATGGATTGTTTCCTCTCTAACAGAAGACTTTTCAGTAAGCTCACTCCAAGTTTTGGCTTCATTTTTTATTATGTTGTAACTGGCTTTTAGTGTGAAACCAAATTTAAATTTAGCTTCTGATATCGTCTTTCTCAAAGGAATTGTAGCCTTTTCTTATTTAAAAAAAAAAATCAGGACCTGCCCCGTGGCCTAGGCCTAGCGGTTAAGTTCGGCACACTCTACTTCAGCGGGCAGGGTTCGGTTCCCAGGCATGGACCTACACCACTTGTGGACATGCTCTGGTGGCGACCCACATACAAAATAGAAGAAGATTGACATAGACATTAGCTCAGGATGAATCTTCCTCAAGCAAAAAAAGAGGAAGATTGGCAACAGATATTAGCTTAGGGTGAATCTTTGTCAGCAGAAAAAAAAAATTGTTTACCTTCAGTTGAAATACGGTAAGAAAATTAAAAGAGGTTTTTGAAATGCGTATGGGGTGATTTTGCCATAATAAGAGCAAATTAGATATGGAAGGAAAAGTTCACCAACTCTGAAACTGCTTTGACATTTTCCAAACAAGAAATAGACTCTTCCAGTGAAAAATAAGTTTTGAAGTAGCTAAATATCAATTCAACATCTGTTGTGGACCAGGCACTATGTGAGACACAGTGAAATGGAAGATTAGCCCTGGCCCTCAGGAAACTTAATTCTCCCTTCGATCTCTGTGTAGTAGTTGTCTTCCTTCTTTTTGAGAGAAGAGCAAAACCCATGGACATTTGATGGCTTTATGAACTGAGTTGGTGGCAAACAAATTAGCAGACTTCTCACCTTGATTCTGCTGTTTAGTAAACAGTTTGTTCTGGCCTTTTTATACTCTTCACCAAAGCTTCATCCCTTATATATAACACTACTCCTCAACACAGAATCAGTACACATCTGAGCTGCTTTTTAGTGAAGCTCAAGGGAAAAGTCTTGAAGGCCTGCATAAGGAAGAGTTCGTTTTTATATAGCAGCAATGCATTTATAAAAATCTTAGCTGGAACCGGTTCAGAGATGGGCATACGATGTGCTTGGTGGCTCATTAGAAAGGAAGAGCCACCTTTCCCATTGGATTGTGGGTGCTCTGGAGGGGTGGGCAGGTGGGCTTATAGAAGCAGCTTAGCGCCATCTTGTTTCTGGAAATGGAGCAGTCACTCCAGTGATGGAGCAGGGACACTGGCTTAGCAGGGAGAGGCTGCAGGGGGTACTGGCCCTGTGGAAGAGCAGGCCATCTACAGAGCAGAGATGAATCCTTCACGCAGTCGTCTTTAGAAGTTCACTTCATATTCTATCTCTATGTAAATATTAAATGGCTCCATTATAAAGAGCTTATAAGTAGTACTAAGCATATACACATTTAAACTCTCAATGTTTACAACTAACACTGTCAAGATATTTTAAAATAACAAAAACCATGCATTTAGTATATTCACAAGAAATAGATTTTTGGAAAGTAAACTTACATATTTCAAAAGAGAATACCTTAGGAGAAAGTTAAAGTCATGGATTGAATTTGATGGGCATCTAGCATGTAGAATAAGCCCGATTTTTCTCAAAGTCCAAATGGCAGATGGGACAGTCCCCATTTATAGATCCTCTCGATGTGCTGGCCATTCTGCTGGATGATTAAGATGCTAAGAAGAATAACACAGCCTCTCCAACCTGTAGGAGCCCCTACTCTGCAAAGGGGTATGAATACATAAACAGCCAGCACCCTAGAACCCAAAAGGGCTACAAGAGCATACGTTAGGTAACAGTTCTGCTTGGAAGAAAGGAAAGTAGTAAGATTCAAGATCTAACGACTTTTCTCCTTTAGAGCAAAATCCACAACTGTATGAAAGCGTGCAAATGGTACCCAGTATGCCACAGTAATTTAGATGCATGACGTCTGAAATCACACTGGAGTGACTTCTGAGGAGTCACTACCCTTCTCTAACACTCAATGTCTTCACCTGTAGGATGAAGCTCATATATGCACACCCCTCAAAATTTTAGGTAAGATGAAATGAGAGTATGTAGATACAGCATTTTGTACAGGGGCTACTCATGCAGTAAGTACAATAAATGTTAGAAATTATTTTTGTTTACTATAGAAATAGTAGCTATAGGTATGGAAAGAGAGGAAACATTTGGGGATTCTTGTGCAGACTTCTGTGACTAGAGCATAAAGTTTGAATGGAGAGGCCATGAAGAAAGAGGTCACACTGCAAAGTTCCTTCAGTGCCCAGAAAAAGAGTTCCAACTTGATGCAAATATAGTGGGGAAAACATCCAGCCTGTTCTGCCAGCTAACATGATCATGTGTTTCAGGAAGTTAACGCTAAGGACAATAGAAAGAAGATGTGGAAAAGGTGACTAGGAGGGCTTTGAGGGAAAAATTTCTGCTATGAAAGCAGAATAGTTGTATAATTTGTGAGTCATTTTGAATATTGCTATGTTTATTAGTTCTCTATATTTTTGCTGTGTATTTTAAGAGTTTCTGCATTATTTGGTATGATTTTGATGTTATAATATTAATAAAAATTTATCCTAAAATTTTGCCAGTGTGATGATGCCACTGTCAAGAAATGGAGTACTCTATTTTATTTTGCAGCTGACTTGCCAGAAACATATTATTCTGTAAAGTGGGTGCAAAGGCTATTAGACAGCAAAGGAGCCAAGAAATGAAAATGGTTTCCTTTTGTGAATCTCAGTTCAGTGTAGTCTTCTACCTCTACATTTTCTCTCTTCACCACAGGAAAATGGCTGGATATGTATTGGTGGTAGTCATAAATTCATATATTTTTCAAAGGAAAATAATCTCCTTATGAAAATTTTAAATTATGAATTTGGATAGATAACCTTAAAATACAAAAGATAGATTATAGGAATTAAAAAACATATTAAAACACATTTTTATAATAGGGGTAGATAGAAACAAAACTTTCAATTTTGATCTTATTCAGAATATCAGCAACAACAAAAAAGCAAATGACAAGGTAAATATTGAGTCCTTGTAGATCTGAAAGCTAAAATGTAATGTTTAATTGAATATCTTAAGGGTGGATTATGTACAAAAAGAATAGCAAAACTGCTGAAGGCTCAATTGTCAGGCAAACCTTGTACTTTTGTGCCCTCTAGTGGCAAGTTGAAGAATTGATCCATCCTCATTGAATTGTTGAAGAAACACGAAGTGGCTAAGGAGAGCAAGCCAATGGCATAGGAAATAAACTGTAACCCCGAGACCCTGAGATTATTTTCTCCTCTTACCTCATCTAACTAAAGATAGAAGAAAGCCAGCTGACTTCAAACTGCTTCCAAGAATTCGAAAGATCTGTTGGTCTGGAAGCATAAACAATTCTGTTCATCATTCTTGAACATATGTTCTTAGACCCATTTCTAACATGGGATTCCCAGGCTTAGCATAGAAGCTTGAATTTTCATCTCAATCAGAAGACTCATGCATGAGACACAGATGACACTGAGCCTTTGAGCCTGTGGGAGCTGAAGCCTTAGCCAACAGGCTCCTGGGCCTGGAATCCTTTGGGAAACCAACAGGCAGCAAGTTATTAGAAGGCCGTGGAAATAATGATGCTACCATTTCACATGGGTTTTTCAAGATCCTCAAAACGAATTGCACTGGCAGAGCAAGGAGGTTTGCTATAAAATTTTAATTCAGTAGCCATAGTTAGATGGAACATCCAAATTAGAAAAACTTATTTATTGATACCAAAATTATCTATTTTCTGACTTTTACCTTTCAGCATCAGCATAGTCCCAGAATTAGATGTAGTTAATACAGCCAGGACTGCAGAGCACCTTAGATAGGCTTTTATTCTTATTCTAAATGTGGCCGGGATTGTATGTATTTCTGATGCCATTTCTTCCATAGCCCTTAGGGGAGAATTATGTGGTTGTAGT